AGAAAGTGACTTCCAACTATCTCCAATACAGATATGAGTACAAATTTAAAAAAGGTTAATCTCTTACCACTAATTAATCCAAATTTACATTATTTCTATCAGCACAAACCATCTAATCACTAAATCCCACAAAGAAAGATTCATTTTCTTCCCACCCAAGCATGTAACCTAGAAAGGGATGCCATGAGGAGACAAGTTTAGAAACAGTATTATCTCTTATTAACGCTGTTAACTTGGCCATCTGAGGAACAATTAATTATTTCTAACATTAATAAACAAGGCAAAGTCTACCTGGTTCTTGGAACAGGGAAGTTGTAGCTCAGTTGTAGAGTACAGATAGTCTTGGGTTCAATCTCTACTGCCTCCAGGTAGCACTGGAAAAAAATGTTCTTGCCTGAAACTGTGCAGTTCTTCTAACAATTAACAACCAGATTTACAAGTTCATTTATCCATAGTTTATTCAATAAACAATTAGCTGAGTCCATACAAAACACTATGTCATACATATGCCGCAATTTAGAAATGAGAATGGTTTGGCTTGTGCACCATGCTAAGCCACAAACAAGCAAACCACATTTTGGGATGCGTGAATCCAGCTGGTATTGACAAAACTGAGTTAGATCAAGTAAGTATAGGGCAGCTTCTTATGTACCAAATACAGGCAGCCAACACATTTTCCTCAGTTGTAATCAAGTGTATATTGTATCCCTTCCATTGCTGATGCTGTAGCAGCTCTCTTTCCACATAAATATATTTATTATTAATATCTTTTGTAACCAGTATTTATGGATTAAAAATAAATGTCTTCTGGAGACAAAAATAAGTAAAAAAGGGAAGTCTCATTCAAGAAAACTTCTAGTGATTCATGGATCTATCCATGTGGACCTGTCCATGGAATTGGTTTGCAATTGCCTTCTTCTGTGACACTTTTTCAACTTCCTAGTCTAATCTAGGAAGCTGAAGTTTGTCTTTCTTCTAAGACAAACACCCATAAGTTGCCTTTCTCTGATGAACAACTATAATTGATCCAGCATATGGAGGTAGAGACTCTTCAAAGAACAGGTGGAAATACAGTTAAAGCTCAAGACAAGTAACAGATATTAAGCTACCCTATGCTATCCTAGCTAGGCTTGACCAAATGAAGGGATGATTTATTCTCAGCCAGGTTATACTTTCTTTTCCAGCTAAAAATAAAATAAAAAAATCTCTATCTAAAATGATAACAGGTTTATACCTTAGTAAATTAATTGGTATCTATGATGCATAACTTTTCCACTGTCCCAGTTGAATTGCATGAATACCTTAGAAAAAAGCTTGTCTGCTGGTGACTTCATTATTTATCTACTTCCTTGATTTATATCCTGCCTTTCATTTAGAAGCTCAAGGGGTACATATCATTCCCTCTTATTTTTTTCCCACAACCACCAGCCTGTGGGTTAGGTTGGGCTGAGTGTGTGTAACTGGAACAAAGTCACCTATAAGCTTCTATGGTGGTGGGTAACTAGAACATGGCTCCCCTCGCTTTTAGTCCAACACTTTAACTGCTACCCCTCTGACTGCGTTTAAGGTATCATATTTCTGTAGTAGTTGGGCCCATACAAATGTTGAGCTAAAGCTCTCACCTCTTTAGATTATTGGTTATGTTGGCTGCAACTGATGGGAATTGGAATTCAACAAAATGTAATTTTTGTTTTTTTTATTTTCTTAGAATTGACATTAATTATATTATAAATATTAACAATTCCCTTCTTTTCCAATACTGGACTAACTTTATGGTATTAAATTCATTTCTGTTTTATTGACTATCTTAGTGAATAAATTGACCAGCAGGCTTTAGACAAGCAGACTTTGTGTTCATTTCAAGAAAGAATCCTGCTTTAATATGACAGTATTACTGTTTAGTATTTAAGACTCCTTTGAAAAATACACAGTGTCAATAACAATGTTCATCACCTCATTTTCCAAATGACAATTCATTCCCTCTACTTCCATAGTAACAAACTACAATGTTGATCTTTCTTTATTAAATTTGATAATGCTATACTATGAAGCAGCTGCTACTTCCATTCATACTAAGTATAATGAGACAATACTTCATTAAGATGTTCAGTCAAGCTTTATTCCTGTTGGCTTATATTATATAATAGCATGCTGCTTTATTTTCGTAGTGAAAAGAAGACTACAATCACAAATACCCAACATCTTTTGACTGGGACTGAATTGAATGCTATGTCTTCTAATTAGTTCAATGGACTGGCTGCTAATATAAACAGCTGAACTGGCTGCTAGTATAAACAGCATTTTACATGGAAATGATATCATCGTATAAAATTGTCTTCCAACTTTCATATAGCCAATTTTTCCATCAGAAGTAATAAAGAATACATAAAAAGAGTTCCAAGCACATACTTGTTTCAAAGTAATTTATTACTCCTAGTCTTCCATTCACCAAAAATATACATTTTTAATTATTACAATGTATTAAATAATTTAACTACTTGCAATATATTATCTAGAGCTGCTAAAGCCAGAAATATTGCCACTAAAAATCATAGCAAATCGTAGAAATTTTGAAATAATTTCAAGTATGTTCAGTTGTTACAATGACCCCTGGTTGATAATACTGATCATTCCTATGAATGCAGTATTGGAAGCATTATTTTCACTGTGAATGACCTTAATTTAAAACACAGATGACTGCCTTAAGTAATGCCATTGGACTACAGGTAGTTCTCAAGTTATGTCCATTCATTCAGCAACTGTTCAAAGTTACAACAGTGCTGAAAAAATGGACTTACGACCAGTCATTGAAGTTCCATCTGTCACAATACCCCTGAGGTCACATGATAAAAATCTGGGCCCTCCTGCATTTACTACAGCCCCCTTGCCCCCCCTCCCAGGCTGATCTTCTTTGTCTTCTTTGCCTAGGAAGAGGCAGGAGTTTCAGGCAAGCAGGCTGGTGGGTGAGAGCTATGAGCAGGGTGGCAGGAGCCATGGGCTGGCACAACGGAGTGTGGTGCTTGGGGTGATGCAGAAATTGCTGCAGTGTGGGGCTTGCCATGGTGCTGGGGCTTAAGGCTTAAGACTGGCTGGTGCTGCTGGGGCTTGAGGCTGACCAGTATGAGGCTTGGTGCAGGGCAGTACTTGAGGCGGCACTCTGGCTGGCTCTGGGCCTGAAGTAGGGGCCCAGGGGAAGTGGTGGCAGGCTGAGATTGCTGAAGGCTGTCAACCCCAAGGAGTGCCACTTCCAGCCCGCACTGTGTCAAGCCTCGCACTCCCTAGTGCCTGCCCGCGGTACCCACTCCCCAGCCCATAGCTCTTACCCGCCTGCTTGCCTGGGACTCCTGCCTCTTCCCACATCGTGGTCATGTGAGATCCTCACTTAATGACCCACATGGTCCTGGGGTTCAACGGCAACTGAGACTGCCGGGATTTCAGTCACTAAGCGATGTGGTCATGTGATGTCATGTTTTACGACCACATCACTTAGCGATGGAAATCCTGGTCCCAATTGCCACTGTAACCGGAGAACTATCTTTATATACCTCTACACTACTACCTAGTGGCAGCAGTTCTTCAGGGTTTCATATAGGTTTGTTTCTGAGCCCATCTGGAGATGACAGAGACTATACTTGTGATGTGCTGTATGCAAAGCATGTGCTCTATCATCGAGTCATGTTCTTTCCCCAATTTGCCCTGAACGGTTATTGACTGTCTGCTTTAATAACATCACATTCAGTACATACAGTCTATAATCCATACTTGGCTACAATAATTTATATAGGAATGGGAGAAAGAAAAATGACTGCCAAAGCAAGTGCAGAGAGAGGAAAACTGCCAAGAATAAAACTAGGGTAAAGTTGAAAGTGAAACTAAAGAATATTCAGCTCAGCCATAATAGAACTCACTAAAAATCAATAGCAATTGCTAAAACATGCAACCATAAGGATGTCAAAGAATGCATAATGTGTATCTCTAAAAATCACATCAAGCAGTTGAAAAAGAATACATTTTTTTACCAACATATCTTGATGGAAAAATGTCATAAACCATCATGTACAGAAATGTCATCATATTACTACATAAAGTAGGAAAACTGATTCTTTAATATGTAGTTTTGTGCATTTGTTCTCTCTTTAAAATTACACGTGGATGGATTCATTTTTATACAGGATAATAAAGGATAAAGGTAAAGCTATACTGTCACTATTAAATCATAACACATAGCAGTTATTTAGATGTAGCATTTTTACAGCATTTATAATTCTAGTTTGTTTGGATGAATGAAATCATGACTTACCCCTCAAGTCCTGCCATTCCACCTCATCAGGAGAGTGTTCCTGGGAGTGATGAGCAAAGAATTCTTGTACTGTATGCCAGAAATATATAATTCCAACAGGGTCACTCAAGGCATGAAGGACATCCCAGCTGCCCAACTAAAGTATACAGGCAGCAGTGATACAGGAAGATACAGGAGACAGATGATCACTTTAGTGACATTAGCAAAGGCATGATCTCACATTATGTGAGAGAAGGCAATGGTAAACCATTCCTATATTTTACCAAGAAAACCAAATGGGCAGACAAGGTAAAGTGATAATTATGCTAGATGTTGGGCTCCTCGATGATGCCCAAGATGCTACTAAGGAAGAACTGAAGATCTTTCAGGGTGCTAATGGTGTTAATGATGCAGCTAAATTAAAGCTTTTGGGACATCTAGTTGCTGATGTTGCCATGCAGGAAAAGAAAATCCAAAGTTGCAAGGATAAAATTACATTGGTTAATATGGAATGTAAGAAACATGAATATGGGATTCTACAGCAAGAGTGTCAGTGGACCTTAAACTATGACTTATACAACAACAACAAATAATATTTCGAATATATTGGACTCCATTACATTTGTATAGAAAAGGATTGTCTAAGACAGCATTTTGTGGAGATTAATAAGGACAATGCTTCTTTAAAACACACATTTTTATAATGTCCTATACTAAGTTTTGGGAGAAAGTACCAGATAAAGCAATTGTGTGACAAAAGCTAAAATTTTCAGAAGATAATATTCTCTTGAATTATGGAACCTGGAACTGTACATGGAACCTGACAACTGGACAATGTAAATGGATTCTCCATGCCCTTACTATGGCCAAAACACTGATACTGCAGCATTGGAAAAATAAATGTATGGCCCCGTTCACTCAATGGATCAAAGACCTGATTGCACTTGCCGCTTATGAGCAGATTGTCTGTAGATGTAGACCTTGTATGGACAAGTATAATGAAATATGGGACTCATCTATACAAAATACAGTAGGTTAAAAAAAATGATCATATAAATGTATTGGAAATATATATGCATTTGAATAATGTTTATGTTAGATAACTATATATAGAACTGTAACTGTTTACTGGTATAATGACAGTGACGTATCATCTTTTTTTTGTCATACTTCTTTCATTTTTTTTGTAAAGCAATTTTAAAGTTTTTTTTCTTTGACAACGTATCTCTATCATTATTATCATTGTGTTTTCTTTTTTGCTTTTTATTTTTGTTATTAATGAAAAAGCAATAAAAAAATTTTTAAAAAGAAACATGAATAAGGGAAAGCTCAGCACTGTGAAAGATTAATTCACCATCATACTGTTTACTATTCAGAACAGAAAATACAAAGAAGGACCAACACTGTTTTCAAAGTCAGGAAGAATATAGTAAAGACAGTACCTGGGTACCATGCATTCATTGTTTGAAATAATATCAATTAGATATTGTAGACATCCCTTTAATATAATGGTTATCAAGTTTATGCTCCAACCGCTGATGTAGAAGAGGAGAGTGACATGTTTTTTAGTCAAGTTAAATCTCAAATAGACAGAAAATGCAGCAGGATGTGCTGCTTGTGGTTGGAGAATGGAATGCCAAAGTTAGAAATAGCAAGGAGGAAAATGTAGTTGGACTCTATGGCCTAGGAAACAGGATAAAGGTGGAAAACAATGCATCAGTTTCTGCCAATCCAATGATTTCTTCACAGCTAACACAGTCTTCATCCAATCAAAACAATACCCATATACATGAACATCACCAAAAATCAATTGACTATATTAAAGGGGGAAGAGCTCACGAACTGCTCAGTGCAAGTTTTAAGTCAAGCTAAACGAGCAAAACAAAACCAACTGGTTTCCACAATATGATATTGAGCATATACCCAACATTTTCAAGGAGAATCTCAGAAATTGCTTTCAGAAAGTCCTGAAACTCATTGATAGGAAAGTAGAGAAACTTCAATAGGGAAATTGAAGAAGTTGTAAGGATGAATGTGAAAAAAGACTAAGAAACAGAAGAAACCAAACTAGATGTCAGAACAGATGATGGAAATTGCCTAGAAAAGCAGAAAAGACAAAGCTGAGGAAGACAAAGATTTCAGGAAGGAATTTAACAACGAATTTCAGAGAGCTGTTGGAAAAGACCAGAAGCAATATTACAGCATCTATAAAGACATTAAAGATAGAGCTGGAAAAGCAAGTAAAGTTTTCTAGAAGATCTCTAAACTCAGGAGGAGATTTCAACCTCCAATTAGTATGCTAAAGCACAATAAGGATAGCTAATAATTGTTTCAAAGAAGATCAAACAAAGATGAAAGGAGTATACTGAAATTCTGCAGAGCAGGGGTGTCAACACTCAAGATATACCTTACAAGATATTCCTTTTTTACAAGAACCTCTATATTAGAATATGAAATTAGATCAGCACCCTAGTCATTACCAAGTCAGAAAGCTACATTTATATAGCAAGCAACAGAAGAAGAATCTGTAATATTCTAATTAAACTATGCCAACAAATCTGGAGAATGACACCGTGGCTAAAAAAAATTGGAAGAGGCATATCTACATACCAATACCAAAGAAAGAAGACTTAACAGAGTGTGCAAACTATTACACAATATCCTTAATTTCATATGCTAGCAAAATAACGCTCTGATCATCCAATGCACTTTAAAGCCCTGAGTGGAAAGAGAAATGCCAGATGTTCAAGCTGCTTTTAAAAAAGGCTAAGGACAAGAGACATTATTGCTGATGCCTGCTGGATAATTAAGAAATCCAAAGAATACCAAAAAGAAGTCAAAGTGCTTTATTGACTATAGAAAGGCCCTCAATTGTGTCAAACTGTGGAATGTCCTTAGGAAAATGGGAATCCCAGAACATCTCACTGTCCCCATTCAAAATGTATAAACAGAACAGGAAAACACAGTCCTGACCTAACATGGTGAAACAGGTTGGCAAAGAAGTGAGGCAATACTTATTTGTTCAACCTATATGATGAATATATTCATTTAGAAAGGTTAGATTGGAAAAAGATGAGCTTGGTTTTAAAACTGGAGAAAGAAACATCAATAACCTTTACTATGCTGATGACACTACTCTGACAGCTGCAAATGCAAATGATCTGGAAGCTCTAGTAATGCAAGATGAAAAAATGGGATTATGGTTAAATATAAACCAAACAAGTACAGTAATCAGGTTTAGAACTGACAGTGAAGATATTGAAGTGGGTGGGTAGCTTCTGACTTTTAGGAAGTAAAGGAACTAGCAGTCATTAATGAGCTGTGGACTAGCGCTTAATAGGTAGCAATGAAGGCCTTAGGAAAAATGTTCAGATGCTGTAATGTATCTGTACCTACAAAAATCAGAATAATGCAGGCAATGATTTTCCTGTGACACTCTATGGATGTGAGAGTTGGACTTTGAAGAAGCTGGATAGAAAAAAATATTGACACTTTTTTATTTTGGTGTTGGAAAAGACTTTTGAGAACGCCATGGATAGCCAAGAAAACAAACAAATGGATTATAAAACAAATCCATTCAGAATTTTCAGTTGAGGCACAAATTATCATATTTTGGATACATTATGCAAAGAACCAGCTACTTTGAGGGGTCCATAATGTTGGGAAAGGTAGAAGGAAAGAGAAGAAGATGATAACCAGCAGCAAGGTGCACCATTGGGAGACATGAAAGACAAGAATGGGGAGAGATCATCCTGGAGAAGGTCTATCTATGTGGTCATTAAGAGTTGACACCAATGTAATGGCACATAATCGATCGATCAATCAATCAATCAAATCGCAACTTGAGTGTGGATGACAAGAGATAATATGCCCTTTTTTGTTTACCCCAACTGTAAACTAAGAAACAAGTCAACTAACATCACCAGTGCACCATTTGTTCATTAAAATTCTAGTTTATTAAGACATACATTTTGGTTTTAAATGACATGCATATATATCCATTATGTCATGAACACTTCTGGTTCTCAACATTATATGTTCTCCAAACATAGTGCTCTCTTTCAGCAGACAACAACCATGTGCTATAAATCTTAATACCAAATTAAGCCAAAATGTTGCTTGTTTGATAATTATTTGTTGTATGCATCCAGCTACTGTAACTTGTAAATGATGGTTTCTCATTTGACTGAATTCCAACAATTGTTGTTATTCAGTAAATTATGTTTTAGTAAACCATTGTTAGATGAGTAAAATATCCGTATTAATTTATCAACTTGGATTCATGATGGAATCTTCAGTTAATTTATATTTCACCAAATTATTCAGTTAAATGAGAAAAAAATTCTAAAACATTTAAAAGATGCAGAGAGAGAAAGAGAGAGCTATTGACAAAATCAGACAGAATTTTGCTTTACTCAGGAAATTGTATCTGGTTGCCCCTTTATCCACTTTTTTTAAAAAAATAGAAAATGGCATTAGGTAATGCAATACATCTGGAAATCAAAAGCAATGCCCATGAGAAGTGAGAAGTCTACAGGGCTGTTATTGGCCAATGGCACATTTAGAAATAATAATCACAAACATTCTTCCAAAAATAGGAAGTTACAACATTTGTGATTTCTAAAGTATATACCATCAGCAAAGGGTGTACAAAGACCACCATCTGTCTAAGGTTGAAAGCCTGAGCACTCTTACTCAGGAATAAATCTGGTTGTATTCAGTGGGGCTGTACAAACCTAGCCACAGTCATGTATAAACATGCTTAGTTTAATCTCAAAACATGAAAAAATGGCAAGAGATTCCAGTTTAAGCTTGTGTGCATGCCCTGTAATCCAGCAGTGGACAAGACGTAGATCAGGATCTAAAGATAAATGTGGGGACGATCAGTAACACGTACTGTATTTGTTTTGATGTAGTTAAAACATTTCTATCCCACCTGTGCTTCCAACAGTTTAATGGTAGCAAAGGTGACAAGGCATTCTTCCACTCCAATTTAGACTTTTCATATGATGAAAACTGAGGAGGGGGAGCTAGGCATAATTCTCATAAAGCTATGTATGAAATGATGTGGACCCTGTGGAAGCAAGGACAGTTTGCAAAGCCAGAAAGTTATGGAGAGAAATAGCAAATGGTATTGGCATAAATTAGATTTAACTGTATTTGCTTTGTTTTGCTTATCTCATGCCACTCTTTTTTGTTGTTGTTGTCGTTTTGGCTATTTTTTTCTGTACTTTGTAGAAGAGTGCTCACCCCAAAAAAAAACAGCAAGATGGATATTAATATATATATATATATATATATATATATATA